CTGAAATGAGAACTATTTTGAACATGACATATTTCCTCCATAAATGTCTGTGCTGGCCATGGGCCTATGGGCCCCATATGCAGATTTCATGTCCTCCAAATTTAGTTTATGAATCAGGAGTACGATGCACAATTTTTTCCTATAGCACAAGCAAAATGAACATCTGTTCACTTTTTGCCATGTAGGTTTATATCTGTGTGGGTGGGTGTGAACAGAGCTCTTGATGTGTAATAGTCCTCCCATCTGCACACCAGGTGGCACTGCATAGTTAATCAGAAGATAATAACAGCCATGAGGAGATTACTTACTTTTTGGGCAAGAGAGAGTAAATCAATCTCAGAGTTTTTTTTAAAACAAGGTACATTAATGCTTGTACTTTAAAATCCTTTTTTTTTTCTGTCTGTGTAATTTCACTCCAATCAATGACATCATCTTATTATATTATTGTTTGAATGTGATGTTAATTAACTATGAATTACTGCAATTACGACAAAGGTTCACTCCACAACGTGTTTCATATATTTTCTTTTTTTTTATGTACAGTTTTAACCCTTGTAAGCAGAATATGCTATTTAGAATACATTCAAACAACAATCTGCTTAGATTTACTTGGTAGACTCACCTAACCCACCATTCCACAGTATTTAACAGACCTCTGAATACCCATATACAATAAAACTAACTGCACAGCAATTCAGCAGCAGAAGATGGAGGAATAAACAAGCAATCTTCATTACTCAATGAGAAGTTAAGTAGAAACTTAGTGCTGCAGGTTTAAATCTACAAACACTGAAGTTAAAGTGTCTAAGCAATTTCTGGGAATGAGAGCTTCGGATTTTTCTTAAAAGGTCGCCAAATAAAACAATATTTCAGGATATATTTTTATCTGATATTCTCTAAGGAGAATGTAAATGTTATGAAAAAATATTAGAGAATAAGGCTAGACGTTTGTGCAAAAGTCTGCAGAAAATATGTCTATGGTGACAGCATTTCCATGTAGTCATTTGAATGTCACATGAAGAATGTCCTTTAAATATTTAGTTCATTCATTTTTATTCAATTAAGTAGTTCTACAAAGAAACTCCTATGTATTTTCTCTTTCAAAAAGGATTTGAAATGCTTTGTGGAGTCTTAAAAGACAGAATAACAGAAATCTGTTTTCCAAAGAAGACAGCTGAACTTCTAGAAAGATGAGGAATAAAAGCCTGGTATTTCTGCATTTGCCCAGATAGCCATGAGAGACACATACACGTGTTTTGTTTTGGATTTTCTTATTGGCAAAAATCATATTCCACTCTGAAAATCCATGAAGAACCACAGTAACACAAAGCGTTCAGACTGCTCTGTTCCCCGCAGGATAGCCCTGGCTGCCTTCCTCTGCTGTCTCTGAGGACCATGTGCTCTCTCCTCTAGCCTCTCACCCCTCCATTGATTTCTCCTTTTGCTCTCAGCATGCTTATTCTCTGTTGCCCTGAGTCTCTACGGTGTTTACAGAAGGCAGCAACTGATGCAAGACTTTTTTTTCTTAAAGCAAAATTTTCAAACTGATTTGTCAGTTCAGTCACAAATTCTTCACAAACCCTTCTTATCAAAAAGCAGAGCTGATTCAAGGCAGAATACATTGAGTAATCTTTCAAATCAGGACAGGATAGGATTTTTTTTTTTCTATGCTTACTTTTAGAAGTTGGATTGAAAACTTTGACAGTTTAATTGGGAGACTTAATTCCTATTAATTAATGTTTGTGAGTAACAAAACAAAGCCAAAAGTTTTGTAACTGAAGAGAATTGTAATTCTAAGATGAAAATTTTAGGAACTAATTCTTCATCTCTATTTCTTAATTAACATTTTAATTGCCCAACAAAATAAGACTAAGTTAAGAAACAGCATCTACTTAAATGAAATGAAAAAAAACCTAAAAAAAACACAGTAGAGACTCCAAGAATATTGTTTAGCTGCTACCTTTTGTTCCTTTAAAAATTATCACGCATACCATTGTCCATTATTAATTTTGATGTAAGAAACTGAGATTCACGGACTATCCCCTAATACTTGTGTTAGCTGTAATCTGAAATTGTGACTGCTGGAGAAAACCAGAAGCATGGTGTATTTCTTAAATTCCCATTGCCCAGCTGGATCCTTACTGCTTATCCAGGTAACTATGAAAGCTTTTTCTAGGATTTAGTCTTTCCTAGTTCAACATAGGCCTTCATAACCCCAAATTTCACATCAGTTTTCACAGCCTAATTGGGAAAGGTAAGATGGAGGTAAGGTGTGACTCACACTGAGACCCCAGAGGTTGTCAAGTATTGGTGACATATACTGGCCACCTGCTTGTTTTCAAGTCCAGTACAAGGTATTTTTCTCAGCTTTGAGACAGCGACTACATGTAACAGACCTACTGGCTGGAGAGCATCTTTTCCCTTAAGATAAACCATCGTAGCCTCAATGCTTCAGTAAGCAAAGAATTGAAGCAAAGCACACTCTTTTGTTACTATTCGTTTCAAATAAGTCTGTTAACCTGTATCCATTTTTGAACTTAGGAATTCTTTAGGTCTCATGTCAGAAACGCTGCCAACAGCTGATTAGGGCACACATTTAACACCTGTCCAAACAGCTCTCACCAAAAGCCCTTGCTATTCATATTTCTCTTCAACATGGTCACTGGCTAGAATGCTCAAACCTCAGTCACCGTGTTTTACCATTGATAGAACCTGCAGCAGAGAGCACTTTGCCTACCACACACAATATTCCCACAGGCAACAGATTTTCCCTGATGCATAACTGTGTGAAAAACAGTTTTCAAAGTTCTCTTTGCAACTCCACCTGCCCTCAGGTAGCTGGTTATTTACAAGTGATCTTCTGTTTCATGAATCACACATGGACTTTTGTACAATCCCAACTGAGCAAATCTTGAATTCCAATTCATTTGCTAGACTAAAGGTGTACTCTTCAAAAATCACATTGCCGCGAAAAAGTCCTCTCACACTGTACTCATCCTATCAGGGATTTAATTTTCTTTTACATACTCACTTCTTTTTTTCCACTAATAGGGAGAATTTAAAACTACCATATTTCTTTTCCATCAAGGTACAAATATATTCTGAAGCAAATTAAAACAAAAAATAAATCTTCCACTTTATGTAAGTAGCTCCATAATTATTTTACCCTTATGATTCAGAGAATGTTCAAATGTGGTATTTCATTGAATATATTTGTTCAGTAGGCAAAGAACATAAAAAGAAATGCAGTTCAGACTCATTATGGAGAAATGGCTGTTGCTGATAGCTTATGAGTGCTCTATTGCATTAATATTGGTAAGTCCACAAATATGCAACCCCACAGCATGTCCTCTCCCTCTCCCTGCCAGGATGCAAGGCCACTTTACTGTCCAGTGGCTTACACAGCACTGCAAAAGTGAGATGACAGGCAGACAAGGGGTACACAAAGGGCATCATATATGCAAGGTAGTGTCCAATAACAAAACTTTGCAGGTACACATAATCCTTCATTAGCATTCATACACTCTGTTTCCTAGTACAGTCAATGAACACATGCTTTACAGGAGAATTATGCTTCAGATACCTTCTCTGGTTTATTAAAACTCTGGCTGTGTCCCTTTACTTAATATCTGTATGGAAGAATGTTCTCTGTAGATATACAGAGATAAATATATTTCTAACCAAAAATATTTTCATTAGTATAGCTTTATTAAGGTCAGAAAATAAACCCAGATACATGAACCAAACACTCCAATTCTATGTGAAGTGCTCAGCGGTCATTTTTGCTGACACTAAACTGAACTGTTATTCTAAGCTTCTGAGTCAGAAATGCAGAGGAATGAGGCTGATGTTAAAAAAAAAATGACTGAGAATTTTTTCCTAAGTGCTAGACTCACAGAAAACAAATGCTTATGAATTAATTCCTCATTGGTGAGATTGTGCAATGTGGTTTGAAAGACACAGATGAAAACAATAAAAATATAAGTCACATCATTTGCCTCATATAAAATTACATCAAAATATGATACATCAGAATTCCTTTACATGGAAGTTCCCTAACAATGTGAGGATTTAGGATTACATAAATCACAACACTCTGTGCTATCATTACACAACAGAATAGATCTGCAAAGCTTATTATACTGCATAACCAGATGGTAAACAACAGTTGTCGTTGTACTAAGAATTACATCTCTGTAATCAATAATAGGAAGGAGAAACAGTTGGACAACTTGTTTCCTATTATGTTCACTTAGGCAACGTCTAGATCAATAAAGAGCATTAAGCCTCATACCAACTGTAGACAATGCCTGCTCAACATGCCTATCATATGGCAGCAATGGGTCCAGCTGTACTTCAAAATAACTGTAAATGGATAATAATTCTAATCTAACATTAAAAAGAAGGGATAATTCAAACAGCAGAGAGGTGCAGGACTTCTCTCATATATGAGAGAAGACAGACCTATGATGGCAGTTTTGTACAAGTCAAAATCAGCTTATTTCGTTAACCCACTCCATAAGTACATTTCACTACAGCCTATCTGAAGGATGTGGCACATTTTATATGGATGAAAGAAAAAAAGCAACCAAGCATGATATCACTGGCTTACATATAGACTCAGTAATTGTGTGGGTGTAGTAAGCTGTTCGCAAAAATTGAAAACTAAACTTGTGTATCGCTCTAGGCCAATATGGCAATTAATTACAAGCAAATTTTAGTTCATCCATTTTAAACTATCTAAACAAACAATAAATCAACCCGTTCGGCTACATTGAGATATTACTTCAAGATCTGTAACATAAATCTGAAAATTTTAGCAATCCTATTAAGGCCACTAATTTTAGCTTCCTGATTTTAAAATTTTTCTTATATTCCATACTTCCATAATGCAACAAATAAAAGCTTTCTCCCATCATGTTATTAACAAAGATACAAAGTTTATTCCTAGGCAGTCCTTCAATTTCAGTATGACAAAGCACGGGACCGTGAGCTCTTACCTATTCCAATAAAGACTGCTTTATAGCCATCTTCTTTCAAGGTATGGAGAGTCATTCCATCCACTGCAAGGCCTTTCCTAAAAATTATCTGAAACAATTAAAAATTGCTTGGCAAAAATTCAATTATAATGAAGCAGCACATTCTGCATGGTAAACTAACAAAGGTTTTCAAAATAATGAATGACATAAGTTTTTATTTAGACTTGCAATTATTAATTCTAATTTAGACAAGAAAGAGTGTCCATAGTGCAGTAATTGATGTTCAATAATCTACACTTGTTTCTGATCAATTGCTTTTTGCTTCCAGAAGCAAAAGCTGCATTTTTATTTTTTTTCTGGAGCCATTCTCCACACTAATCCCGCTCTGAGCAGCCGCTGGCCAGGCTGAGCACCTGGAGGAGCTGTAAGTGTGAGACAGGGAATGCTGCTCTCTGCATGCTGAGGAAACCGAGGACGGCAGTGCCTGTGCAGAGGTCACGCAACTGGAGATACACACACCTTTTGTTCATCACTCCTAACCCCAAGGCCTTTGAGCACAAAAAGTGCATGCAATTCCTCTTCTGATATTTCATACTTCTTGACATAGGTATGTGTGTTTTTATCTCCACATCTTAGACTCTCTGAACCTGAATGTTTTCCCTCAGGTTTTTTTATACCACATGTGATTTTACTTCACAAAATGCAGTGCTGTTGTGTAAGCTCTCTACTTTGTGATCTTAACAGTTTAGCCTTCAAGTCACCGTGTATCTTGTTTGTTATTCAATCTGCCTATATTTTATTTAGTATACTTTTCAGGTCGGTGAGGAAAAAAAGCAGAGGTAAAATACAATTTACACTACTTAAAACACTGACTTACTTTTTCTTTGGAGATTTAGTATACATTTTATCAGAGGTGAAAAGTCATGTACTATTGCAATCCTTATAAGAACACAGACTCCATCCACACTGGCAACAAAAGACATTCCATAAATTGTCATTACATTTTTTTATCCTGTTGTGTACATATGTTATGAAAACCTAATGAAGGAATTTAAATAGCAATACTATTTTATGTGAGGATTCATAATACTTCTAGGGCCTAGCTCTGTAATCCCTATCCAGCTGACTAATTCTTACTAATTTCAGTGGAATTACTTGAATAAACAGCACTACTGAGCATTACACAACACAGCACCTTCCACCACAGATTTGAAATGCTTTAAGTAAACACCAGAAAATATTTCCAGCTTATAGAGGCATAAAGCTAAGGCACTTATTTAACCAGCTTGCCAAAGGGTCAATTGCTAACCAATGGCAGAGCTTTGAAACAAATTTACATTGAGATTCTCTGCTGCACTCCAGAAGCACAGAGGACCTGCCGGTCAGGATGACATGGTGGCTCTATCAGTCCATTCTGGAGACCTTGTCTTAACACAGAGCCCTGGGAACTGAGGCTGGCAGGGGAGTCCCAGCAGTCTATGCCCAGCAGTTCTGTCTAAAGGTGTCTCAGTGCTCTGTTTAACACTATCCCTAACTAAACCTCCATTCTGTCAGTCTTTTTGAGGGTTGCAAAGGGAACTTAAAAGTAGAAAAACAGACCTGTAGCACTTAAAACCTTATCTTGCATCTTACTAGCATTTTTAAAAAACCCAGGCAGGACAATGTTCTCACTCAGGTCTTGTGACAAAAGTCTACTACTTTTACAAAAAGAATCAACATGAAAGAATTTAATCCAAGAATTTCTTGCTTCACGTAAGGCTTTAGTAATGTTAAACATAAAGTATCTCTCCTGGTACTTAAAAATTTGATCCAGTGGTACGTTTGTAACTTCTATTAAAACGTGCAACAATTGTAAATACTATCTAAATCTTCAGCTCAAGTCCTAAATTACAATAAATTGCTGTTCCCATTATCTATAAACAACACACATTTATTTAACAGAATAATGCGTAACTATTGCTTTCTAAGAAGTTGAATAGATTGTTATTGTTTGTAACAGATGATCATGTTAACACTTTAATTTGATACATTTTATTATAAGATTAACTTGGATGCAAGACTATATGATAACCCATTAGAAAAAAAACTCAGGGAGAAGGAACAAAAGCAGTATCAAATATGAATGGTTTAAGTAGTGCCAAACTTGCATGAAAAAAACTTGATTAAAAAAAATCAAATCATTCCAATAGCTACATTGAACCCCTAAAGCAATTTAGGAATTTGTTTCTTACAGACAATTAATCACATGCAGGCATTCCAGATGAGAACTATTGATTGCCCTTTTCCAAACTAGTGGCATTCAGACAGGAGACAGACAAATGCCCTGAGCAAGAGGAAGCATCTTCCTGCCTCTGTCTAGCATAGCTTTTAATCGTTCTTTACTAATGTGCATGACATTTTGCTGTTAATCTTTGGCAGAGTTCTTGTTCTCTTTTTTTTTTTTTTTTTTGAGCTATACATAGGCAGGATATATTTTTCATTACCTTCACTCCAAGATCCTTCATAAGCTCGGCTTCAAAATTCACTACATCATATGGCAAACGGAACTGGGGGATTTCAGATGTACTAAAACAAAAAAAAAGCTTGTAACTATTAGGAAAATATTATTTTGAAATTTATTATTATTTGCTAAAATACTTATGATATACCTTAGTTAATTTTGACATATGTGAATGGAAATGTGCTGAAGTGTGACTCTTGACTTTTTTTAATTTTTAGAGTGACAAAAAAGCATTATTCATCCAATGCTAAAAATATAGGCCAGAAAGGCAGTACCTTGAGGCCAACACTGCCTACTCTTGTAGGTGACTAATTAACATTTGTTACGTTTGAATTCTAAAGGATTTCGGCTCCATTCCTTTTGTTCACCAGAACACACAACGCCAAGCGTAGGATACCCATTTAAAAAAAGACCTCATGGCTACTGAAAGCAAAGTGACATAGCAATCTTTCATTAAGCTATCTAATACTTGTGTATCAAATTTCCCATACAATTTTTTAAAAGTGGTACATATGCTATTTTGAGCTAGAGTATTTAAAAATCTACCTCCATTTCTACTTCATAAAATTTTAATTATTTTTCAGGATGGACAAACACTTTATCAGCTGTTGATTTCATGTTTATTTTTTGACTTAATGTGTATTAGCTGGCATTTTTCCCTCCTGGGGAAGATTAAGAATGACATCTTCAAGTTCCCAGAATTACAGAAGGGAAAAACTGCAGTGCCAGTATAGAGTCTCAGTTTTTATGTACTGATACACATCATATGTGTGTATATATATATATATATATATATAAAATATAATATATATACATTATATATTATATATAAATATAAAATATATATACATTATATATTATATATAAATATATAATATATATAAAATATATATATATATATTCATCTCCAGTAAAACATGTTGCAGATAAACACAGTGTAGTTATATTTTAGATACTTTTGTTCAATGAAGATAAAAAACGTAAATATGCAGAAAAGTAAACGCTTCTCCCCAGATACTTCTAAGCTTCAAACAGTCTAATCTGTTTTCAAATTAATGAATCTGTAATATCCATAACAAAGCAGAGGCACAAGAGATTCACTGCAGCTTATTTTACATATTTATATTGACCACACATCTTCAGCATCAGGCCAGAAGAGTTTTATTTCTTTTAAGTTACATCAACTTCAATTATATTGATAAGAAACTGGTGTTCTTCCTTATTTCTAATACTGCCCTTTTTACACCTTTCTTGACCAGTGTGCAATGAGAAGTGTTGTAAATATCAGATATAATGAATGTGTCAATATAACTTTCACAGGTCATGCTAAATAAAGGTGTCTGAGGCAGAAACTAATGTATCAATATGATTCTGCAACAGAGATTCAATAAAGAAATCTAATCAAAAAAGAGGAAAGTTCTATTTTCCAGGTCACCTATGATGTCTCCACAACATGCTCCCAGAACACCACTGGCTGTTACATCACGGTCAGAATTTGTAAACACTTTTTTTTTGCTCTTATTAAACACTTAGTTTTATGCTGTGAGGTATACCTGCATGCATGCACATTAACTATGAAAATAGGCTTTTATGAAAGTCAACTCTACATCAACAATTTTGATGCAATTTCTTTCAGCAGCAGCAGATGGTCTCTGATTCTGCAATGGAGAGACAGAGGGGAAAAGGAAATGGGGCAGAGAGTGAAGAGGGATGCAGTGGATGCAGTGTCCTACAAATCCACATCAACCTCAAATTTGACCCAAGTCAGAGGTGCTTGTACAGGTGCCTGGTGTTTCTCAGAGACCTCAAATTACTGCTGCTCAAGGGACAGCTCTTTGGCCTAGGAAGAGAAATACTTTGGTACATTGTAAAGCAGTGGCACAGACAGAAGCAAGAGCATCTTGTTCATGGTCTCTAAGCAAGAGCATGGCGTGCTCATGCCTACTGTACTATAAAGCATAAACTTTGGACAATTGGTGAAACGTAGGAAAACCTGCCCATAAATATGAAAATCCAGACACGTTCAGAGAAGCACAGATTTTTGTTATATTTAAATATCCCACCACAGGAATTGCAATCACTAGACACCTTTCTAGTGTCACAATATTATGAAAATTAGCTATGATGCAAGAAACATCTTAATTAAAAACAATTGGAAAAAACTTTAAGAAAGCAAAAACACTGCCATTATAAACAGCTGATTCCAAATTGATTTGGTCTTCTTAGCAATTTTCAATAGTTTATGAAGCCTTGAAAACACACTCATCAATAACTTAAATTTGTTAAAAGATGTGATGCAAAGACCTAGAAATGCAATAATGGATGACTGCTGCCATAGGCCAGCTCCCCTTCTGTTTCAAGATTAAAGTAAGGACAAAAGGAATTGATGCCCTTAAACACACATGAGCATTTCTACAGTGAACGGAAGTCAAATTTGACCTTGATTAATACGTGCTTAAACTCAAAAAAAAGAAATACATTTAAAAATACACTCCTCAACCATTGAGGATACTAAGAGAACAGGCAAAACTCTTTGTAAGGTTTTTTGCATTAGGAGAAACAACAGGCAAAACATTATTTTAAATTCAAGTTAAACCACAAAGAACTTAAGACCACACTGCTTTAAATACACAAGCACATACTAAGCAACTGTAACATTGTCCTACAGCACTGAAGCAGCTGCACGAAGTCCTACATTGTATTGTCAAGTCCAGCCTGAGTCCAACCTGTCATCAAAAAGAGCCTTTTTGTTAAAAACCTCTTACTAATTCTGACTACTTTATAGCAACAAAACTGGTTTTAATCTTGTATTTATGATAACATGTGCTACTGAGCAGGTAAATAGGTATTTCACATACTAAATTTGCAATCCTCTATGGTAAATAGTTCAAGTGAAACAGCTTCACAGTTAAGTGCCTATAGATTAACACCTTGGTAATTAGGTAAAATAATTCTGAACCTCACTGGGAAAAATGCAAGTAATCGGTTCAACTTCTCCAGAACTGATTCTCTTTCTTGCAGAGCACTGAATAAGTATTTGACATTATGACATTATGGATCAATTTCATTAACCGTGTCAACTCCATTATCTCAGTGATGCTGCATTAAGAAATGTAAGTGCATCACCCTTCTTTCTCTCTCTGTTTCATTATATTTTTTATTTTTTAAACACATTGTGTGGATGCATTTTGTACACACCTTACATTGTGGAATTTAATTTTGATTTTGAATGGCTTGGTATCCACTAGTCAGTGTCAGAATTATCTCATACACAGGGATTCCAACAAACCTACTAGATTTGATGACAGCCATTACTGCACTGGCAAAAATTAATTTTCTAGTGTGGAGGACTGACAACATGGAAATACTATCCAAGGGTTTCCCACAGAGCAAAACTGCAAATGTACCTTCCTTTATGCATTTGAACTTTTTGAAGGTTGAATTGCAGGGGGTTTATTTCACCCATATGGTATGGTCTGCTAAAGCAGATCCACTGATGGCTGATTGTCACTGTCACCTTTATTTACACAAGGTAGTCCAGGAAAGCATGCTAAAACAAAAACTCTCCATGAAATTACTATCTAAAGCATTTTAAACATTCTTTCACTAGGGCTACAGGAACTTAATCTTGCCTTCAGGATAAGGGAAAATGGCTCCTGACGTGATTTTCTAATATGTTAACATGATCATAACAATTACACCCTAGAATTTAGGTCATATGAAGAAAATATAGGAGATAGCCACTAGATTTTCAGTTAAAGCTTGCCTGCAACTATACCTCTTTTAACATGAACGATCAATTATTTAAAGATTAGGTGACTTGTACCGATGTGAAATCTTCTGTTCTCTTCCTATCCTAAAAGTCAAGTGATCATACATAAACTATGTATGTACAACAGTTTTTGCTATGCTTTCTACAAAAATTGCAAAGAGTGCTTTGTTATCATTGTTTTATTACCTTAAGCCCCCAAGGTACTCCTGCTTTTCAAATATGGTGATGTTTGAATAGCCCAGTCGAGCCAAAAAGGAAGCACAACTTAAACTTGCAGGTCCTGCACCAATAAGAGCTATCTTCACCTGATATGCTTCAGGCATATCTTCCAGAGGAGGTAAGGAAGGGTTTCTGATCTGAGGAATATTCATGGCTTTGAAAACCTGAAAAGCAACATAATCAACAAGTTAAACACATTCCCTTTTCAAATTTTATTATGACCGACATGATGGAAGCTTCTGCTAGTGCTGTCACATAGCTGATATATTATAGCAAACTCACAACATTATAGAGGTTTCCAAATGACATGATCTGTGCATTTGTGAGGGATGTTGTATTAATAGGGTTTGGTCCTTCTATGGGTCTTTTTGTTTTAAAAAGCTCTGAAGTCAGGTTTTTCACTACTGTAAATTTTACACAGAAGACAGATCCAGACTACCAGTGACAGAACAGGAATGCAAAGTCAGCCAGATGGTAGAGAATCTTTGCAATGCCAAAAAATTTCCCTGCAAACAAATTATTCTTACTAGTAGAAAAATACCTCTACAAGTAATGCAAAGGATCATAGTGCCAGTAAAGAGGCTTTGCTTCTTCAAGAAACAAGATGATACTGCATGATCCTGGAAAAATCTCTTATAGCTTGAATTTTAGAGGTAGTAGGTGATAAACTTTAGGTGGGTTTGAAATGTTTTTTTAGGAATTACACTTAGTCTTCAGCGCTGTATTTTCATTGTTAACCCTATGCTTTAAAATGCCTCCTCTTAGATAATTTTTATTGGACTTTATTTCCTATTCTTACTTAACTTGTTGTCCACTTTTTAATTGGGTTTCCAAGAACTGTAGACATATCTGAAAGTTAGGCAGTTCTCCCTATGCCCCAATTACTCATTCACCTGCATAATGGTGATGATCTGCTCCAATCTCTCCTGACAATAAAAAATACTTAGGAACAATCTCTGCCCACTGTTGTGTATTTCTACAGAACCCAATGCAATGGGCGGCTAACCTGGTTGTAATGTCACACAGTTTTTCAGATTTGCATTAAATCATTTCTATACTGATATAAATTTCTACTCAGATATACAGGTAAGAGGTGAAGGCAGAAATATTCTGTATTGCCCAAGCAAGATTTCAGTTTCCTCTGCACTTAGAGAAATTGTAGAGAAAGGAATTGAGTCTTGTATGACATACAAAAGGAAAAAGAACAGACATACAGCCTTAGAGGCCACTAAACACCAGCAGCATGGAAGAGCACAGGTACATCTTCTTTTTACTTTAGGCATTAGGGGGAAATATCTTTAACCCAAGCAGAACATATTCGTAGCAGAAAAAATAATTCAAGAATGCACTGCATGGGGACTCTCAGTCATATCACAAATACTGTCAATGTAGAATCTCAAAAACTACCAGGAAACCACACTGCTCCCCACCTATTTCAGTGCAGAGCTGTGCTCCCTAAGTACTAGCTAGTCCTCTGAAATACATACACTGAACATTCATCTTAATAAATAGCATATTTCAACTATTTAGAAGCTTACCAACAGATTTTACTTTCCTTAGAACTCAAAAAGCAAAGGGTTTTCAAGTTAAACTTTGGTAATTCCACTCATGATTAGAATTTTTCATTTATATTTTGAATCAATGTTCATTTTCTTCATATGCACTTGAGCACTCATGCTAGGTAAACCAATGATTAGTTCCTTCCCTCTCTAAAATTTCTGTGTCAAACTCCCCCAGTCTTTGTAAATTGACACAGCGGTTTAACAAACTGCATGAAGCAAGAGACAGATAATTGTTTTAAAGAAAGAACCATTTAAACCTGACAATTCATACAATATGGGAAAGTTTAATGTGGTTATTAATGGATTTCACAGGCTGAAAAGCTCATATTGTACTGTGAAACTAGATTATGATAACCCAAATGCAATGATATTTCTAAAATGTCTGCTTTGTTATATTCATAAGAAATTGCTTGAATTATAGCAAATTTTCATTAGTCTCATATAGTTGTCTAAAAAGGCTATTCTGTAACAAAAATTATATAACTTGCATATTTAATGCGCATATTGAACACACTGAATATGCATATGCTTAACAAATTTACTACTAAATTTACTTTATTGTTAACATAACTATTTTTATATCTACTATTGAATAGTCATACCTATCTAATGAATGTTACACTGAAGTTCCACACTACTGTGGTGCAGTGTTAAGCTTCAGAAACCAAGCACTCATGCAGAAAATCCTCAGAGTTCAGGCTGAATGGTCAACTTTAATTCTGCCTATTTGCAAACAGGGTAAAACTGTCTTTATGCAGCTCAGCCAGCTTGTGTGGCAGTATCTTGCCATCTGGAATTCAGTGGCAGTTTTGCATATTAAGGCTGGCAGGGTAACTGTGTGAAAATAGCAAACTGCTTTAATGCATTTCAAAGGATTTTTACTCACCTCATGGTGAAGTTTCCGTATACTGTAAGTCACTTAATTAAATATCACTGAATTCCTCTGTATAAATCCTTTGGTGGCCATAGATGAGCAACTGGCAAGCAAGTGTTCAGCGGCACATTACATTCAACTGTCCTTTCTGCTTCTAATCTCTTCAGACTATGTTCAGGATGCAGGCAAAATTTAATACTATTACCCTTCTCTCCACTTTTCCTTCAAAATCATGATTTCTTTCTTGCTTGGTGTTTGGATGGGCTTTTTGTTTTGCAGGGCTTTTTAACCAAGAACCATTCAGGGAAATGAGACCAAATGATGAATTTTGAAGCAGAGCCTCTCAGTGAAAAGCCTCAGTCATCATCCTCATGTCTGCCTTTCCTTCTGGCGCTCTCATACACAGATTAATAACAGACATTAATAACATTAGGCATTTATTCCTTAACTTTTTATCAAATATGACACGATTATCATTACTTCACTACCTAGGGCATATTCAAATTAAATCCACATTGAATCTGTCCACTTCCTATGCCTCATGTCCATTAGAATCCTCCAAGAGGATATCCCAGTTTATAAAACATGAAGTGAGTTCCAATTTGACCAAACAAACCAGGCAATCTATTCAGCCAAGTTCCAACATCTGAAAAAACGCTCTCTTGAATCACACATTTGTAACATATTATAGCTCTCCTATTTGCATCACTTCACTGTGTAAAGGTGTGAGTGCACTTGCTCAATGCTCTCTAAAGCATAGTTCTCTACAGTATGAAATCCAACAGTTTGTTGCATTCCCTATTGTAAATAAAACATCCTTTCACTGCAAAAGGGTCATGTTCCAAAATATTCAACAAGGAGAAAAATTCCAAAATATATAAAAATAATTCACAACATGAGTTTATACTCAGGTTCCACAACATGCCCCACTTGAGCCAACTACAGTGGTTTCAATTGTTGAGAAACTGATTCCAGTTTAAATTTCCTGGAAAGTCTTAGCCAAATCATTCTAACAGCTTTTGAGAATGCAGATAGCTAAAAGCTTATTGTTAGCCTCATGTAATAAAATCCTGGTTCTTTTTTTCACTGCACCACTCTTGTATTAGAATGTTTTGATGAAAAGATGTGACATTCGGCAAAGAGCAGCAGGTGACTCAGAGAAATGCATTTTGCTAACCAGATGAAAATAATTTTAAGGCAAAGTAAGCATGACTTAAATGAGTCCAAAACATTTTAAACCATTAAAACAGGCTAGAACTGATATTCAGAATTTTTACCTCAAATTCCATACAATTTAAAGTACATAAAATACCTGATTTCAATCAGTGTGGCACTTAGAGGTATGGTTTAGTTGACAAGGTGTTGTTTGGTCAAAGGTTGGACTTGATGATCTCTGAGATCTCTTTCAACCTTAATGATTCCATGATCCCTGGCAGTGTTCAAGGCCAGGTTGGAGGGGTCTTTGATCAACCTGGTCTAGTGGAAGGTGTCCTTGCCCAAGGCAGGGGAGCTGGAACTAGACAATCTTTAAGCTCCCTTCCAACACAAGCCATTCTTCTATTCCGTGATTGCTTAAAATTATTTTTAGACTATGACAATGTATAACAAAATAGTAAATAGATTGAAAGATCAATCTCAGTGTTAAAATGTAAAATACTTTTGTCTAATCCTACAAAATGAGACTATCAAAACATACTTTGTATATCCAAGATATACAGAGAAGGACGCATTTCAGAAGGACAATTTAACCTTTTAGTAATACGAGTTTTGACTTGATAATTAAATTCTTTATATTCTTCACATATAATGCTTGGTTCCATGCTTAAAAGGCTCTAGAAATAAGCTTATCAGTAAGGTTTACAGTTAAACATCCTTCACTAAGGCAGTGAGATACCAGTTACTGACACAGACATTAGAATCTAGCTGGGATTAATTTTAGAGTGAAATGCATCAGTATACACTGAATTGTTACCACATTTTACTAGTGCACAGACAGTAGAATACAGGCAATGAAATCAGAAACATTTAGGAACTGGTTTTACTAGTTTCACACTTTCCCACTGGTTTCCATGGATATTTATCTGTAGGCTGGTTTACATTAATATGAGACAGTGGAATATTTAAAGAAGAAAATAATATTCTGCACATATTTTAATGCAAAATAAAGCAAATTGCATGCACAGTAAGCTGTCAAATTACATGATCACCCAATTAACTCCATTTAATTACAGTGGATAGCACAGGACGCTACATGAAGAGTTTTTTCCACAGACACATGCTAGTTATGAAATGCTCGTGACCTTCCTTCCACAACTTAAGAGCTAAAGTTGCAATATTTCAAAATTGGAAATGGAAATAGGTGAGTGCTTACAAAACTAGGCCACAAACATCTTATTAAAGACTTTTAAAACCTCCAATATTTTAGTCCTAAGACACCCCATGGATCTAGGACACTGCAGAGTCCAAATCTCAACATTTCATGAATCCCACCACTAAATGGACTTAGCAACATTCATGTAAATGCATTAAAAACCAAAAAAATGCTTAACATCTGTAAAACAAGCTGTAGGGAAGCTTATATAACTTGCCAAAATATCAGGAAATCTTTCAGCATTGGGCAGAGAAATCAGAAGTCCTCAGACTCATCTCCTGACCTCTTGTAGAAAGCTACACCACTCCCTCCATACAAGCCTGAAATTTTATTTATAATTATCATGGATTTTAACAGGACTTAAAAGATATAATTACTCAAAGATGCATTAAAATTAATGCTGAAAAATAAAGGACAAACATTTGTCCTTCTGTCTTAGCTCCCCAGAACAACCCTCTCTTGCAGATGCAGCTCATGTATCCATACCTGTGGTGATGCCCAGCCTGGCATCTCAAGGCCATCCCACTGCAGGGGTGGCAGCCCCATGAGAGCCACCTTCTCCTCACAGCTGCACTACAGACTGACCAGAGCTGTCAACTGGCAACTCAAAGAGGAACCCAAGCCCAAGGGCACAGCGTGCCACTCCAGGGCAATCCCTCAAGTAAGACATTTCTTCCTTGACTGTGGTGGGCTGAGGGAAGGCACTCAGGTCCCTCACCAGAACACTCCTTCCAGCACAGGTACTCTGCTGAGCTGTCCCTAGGTGAGCAGCAGGCCAGCTCACACAATCCCTCTTTTTCAGAAAAACACATATCAAATTTCTTTTTCCAATTTCTTTCTGCTGCAGCAGCAGTCAGACTGTATCTGCAAAGAGGAACAAATCACCCGAACTGCAACTGGCACAAGAGCCACAGTACTAAATGATCTAGTGTTTATATCTAGCATGCAGAGATGAAAATATTACATTTTCTATTTAGCTTGTGCTGCACCATTCAGAATGATTAAACAGAAACAGAAAAGAACCTTTATATTCAATAAAGTCTATCCAAAACCATAATAATTTGAGGGTTTCTTACTAATACAACAGCAGATAAGGTAATAGACCTCGCTTTTTCTCACTACAAGCTTGCAAACTTGTACTTGAGCAACCAGTGATTTTAGTTCATTTTGGGACTGACAGCCATATACCTCATGCTTATATGTATTGTCACTGCAATCTCAGTATATTTTCACTGAACTTGTGTTCAAAAAATGGATGTTGCTTGATTCTGGAGTACTTGGGCAAAGGAGACAGATAAAGGCATTAATATAATTTTGACCTGTGCAAGTAGCAGGTGTAACCTGAGCTTGACACTCGTCATTTATAATAGTGAGATTTACTCCATGTTATTCTCTAGATGCAACAGTTACCATGGTAACTGCATCCCAGTACACACATTCTACATCACAAATACAAACGGACATTTCCCTTTTTCCACTTAAACATTTAATTGTCAAAATCCACATTTTCTCAGGCTGGATTACAATTCACTTTGAGAATGAGCCAAACATAGTTACAAAACTATGAAAGGGCAGAAGGGAAACGCAGGCAGCATAAGGTGCCATTTTTTTTTACTGTTCTACCGTATGCAAGACAAATATTTTACAATTAGGGAGCTTTATCTGCAGTATGAACAGATGATCAGTCATTGTTCAGAAGCACAAACGGGCACACATCATACCCACATATTTTCCATTTTAAATCCACATTCCTGCTTTACTGCAATTTTATCTATTATCTCAGCTAGCAGTTGTGCCCTTTTACTATTGCTCACTCTCATAATGCATCAAGTGTATGATCCTCAGACTAATTCTGAGGGAAAAAAAAGCCTAAAACTGGCTTCATGCACAATGGAGTTTTCAGTAAATAAGCCCCTGTGGGACAAATATTACACCAGGCTTGAGAATCACCATGCAGCTTTCATTAAGACTAACACATGTTGCATGCCTAAATTACACAATTTGCTAAGTTACTTGTACAGGTAGAGCTGTGACCACACTATCTGGGCCAATTCTTGTATGAACACTAGCACCTTACAATTTTCTTCAATACTATAATCGATATTTTTATAATTATTTTTACTTGGAAGCACTCATACCATTATATTTTTTCAACTATACCTACTTTCGCAGCAAAATTTAACTGAAAAGTTAAAAAGTACTAATTGCAAAAGTGACTGCCTATTATTACTAATTAAGAGTGCTACAATACATACAAATTCTGTGTTAAACAGCAGTAAACCTAAAGGTTATTAACAAGAAATTTTTTCTTTTACATTTTTATATATTAAATGTGTAAAAACAGATACGATGAAAATACTAAAGATAATAACATTTTTTGAAATGTTCTTTTTTTGGACTGCCCTATAAAACTATATAACAATTTTATTCTGTTAGAGTTCCTGGAAATAAAATAATTTAAACAAACTTGAAACATTGAAAACTATTCATCCTCTGCAGTTTTTGTATCCATCATTATGCTACCACTGGGGTTTTTTTAATAATAGATTTCTGAAGATTTCTGAAGAAAAATGGCAGATATTTAGCATTATCTACCAAGTCATCATTCCTCTCTATTAATCATAGAATAAGAGCTAAAAGAAGACACAAATCAAATTATAACAGATATTAATTTCATTCCTAAACAGTAATATTTCACTATTGTATTTATGATCTACTTGACAACTGTTTAATCTTTTTTGTTTGGTCAGTCGGTTTTGAGTTTCTGTCTTTGGTTTTGTGGGGGGGTTAAGGAGAGTAGTCTTCTGCTTTGCAACAAATACTAGCTTTTTACATATACAGAATAAAGGCCACTAGAAGAAAAGCTAATAAAAGTGTTTGTTGACTGATAAAGCGCAACTATACAACATACACACAGAACTAACACAGTTCCGTGTCTCTAGTCTCATCCTGTAAATGAGAACTTGGAACACACTTGTGTGTTCAAATCTCAAGAAAAACGAAGTGGATAACTACTTAAATGACAGAGAGGAGAGAAGATTCAGCAACAGCTAGCAGAAAACTTTATCAGGCACTCCAGAAGATTTACAAATCTCCTGGAGAGAAGAAAAGAGGGATACAAACAGATAAAAGGAGAACAGCAGCAGCAGGTATCCAATCATGACCCACAGCCATTGAGAAGAGAGTGTGAAGTCTATGCTTGACACTAGAGGAAAATACTGGTCTTATAGACATCATCTGCTACTTCCGGATTGATTTGCATTTCTATTTTGGTCTGTTCTACAAAGCTGCTTTTTTCCAAGGCTTTGACTGGGAAAAAAATTTGACTGGAATTTTATGGTGTTTGTAAATAAAATCAGCCAAATGGCTCATGATACAGAACAGGGACACACACATTAGTTAAGGACTGTATCGAAATGTACAATCCTAACACATTAATATGCTGGTTTTAATATAGCCATAACTCCCTCACTTTTACAGAGACCAAAATAATCATTTTTACAAAATTTTACTTTAGATAGATCAGATGAGGTACCATCTGAGACCTTGAGTTAGGTAAAAATTCTCCATGCCCTCAAAAGAAATTAACAAAAGAGTAGTTGCCTCTGTCTTTCAGACAGAAATTGGAGCATTAAAACTACATAATCCCAAGCAATGCACAAGAAGCTCAACAAAAACCCATGCAAAGAATTTCTAATGTGAAGCAGCAAGTAACAACCTTTGCTTCAGTAGCCAAAACATGCACCTACCTTTATGAACTAATAAATTTACACATATACACTGTGAATCTTACCTATATAAATAGATACACATGGACACGTATTTTTGGTCAACCTCAAACTATGTATTTACTTAGGTTTGGAAAATAAATAAACACATTAAAAAGAAAATATCATCTGAAGTTTATCCTTTGTCTCAAAGCCAGCGCACAAACACACATTAATTCTGCTATAGAATCTATCCTATGCCCAGAACAGTTCTACACCTCCCTAACATGCATTTACAGATACAGCTGCAACTGATCTTTTCCCCTATGCAGCCTACAATCTACTATGGAGCAACATCCACAATTTCACGTGAAATAAATTTTTCATTATAAAAGAAATTGTCTCAACTACCAGTATGTCTAAAGAATCATCTTGCTCACAAATAATGTTCCTTAGGTTCATATAATGTACTGCACTATGAAAGCATTTCTAGGCATTTGAGTGTGCTGTAAGAAAAAGGATAATTATTCCAGCCTTCTACACTTTAATTTTATTAGTAACAACTTTTCTCGAAAAAAATCATTAACAAAGGTAACCACAGGCAATACTCAGTAGTACATACAAAGAAATAAGATATTTGCAAGTCCTACCTCTGTAGCAAACTGCTGCAATCCACCAATATTAATTGGTCCTTCCTCAGTGGCATACAAATTGCAGCCACCAACACAGAGATCTGATGTTGGACACACCATTCCACATGTCAGGCCAAGTGGATTATCAGAAAGAATCATTTTGGCAGCTCCATAGTAGTTCTGAAGGAAAAAGAGAAAGGAAGAAAGAAAAATGACAGTCACATACCAATGAAGCAAAAATTCAAACCTTCAAGAGAGAATTTTATTAGCCCCAACAAAATAATATATAAGCATATGTGTTAAATAACACTGACATTACTGAAATGTACTAGCATGTTATGCAAAATCCCATCAAAGATACTGAGAAGAAAGTCAGCAAAAACTGTGGATTATGCAAAGGTAAACTTTTGCTTTTCAGCTTGCAAAATGGTTAAAAGCATCTTCAGTCTGAGGTGGTTGTAGGATTTTCAGTAGCTTAACAAATCTACCTTCAAAAACTACAACTGCTGCATTACGTACTTGAAAATATTCTCTCCATTTCTAGGTCAATTGGGCACTAGCTGAGTTGCAACCCTTGTTACAGGATGACCAGAAAGTGCCAGTTATATTACCAGTTCTTTAGAGCTCAGGAATGAAAATCTTATTTTACACATCTGTGCACACCATCTCTGTTGATATTCCTGTCCTTCATACCAGACCAGTAGTACCAATTTTCCCAGACACATGATAAGACTTTCCATGTAGCCACCTGCAGATATTGCAGCACTGAATTCTTTTTGATCTTTTTTTTCTCAACACATACTGATCAGGGCAAACACTCTCCTGTTTCCTTAAATCATAAGCCAGGGAACTAATTAAAGATGTTACCTACAATTCACTACTTCAAAGATTCTCAATATTCAGTGGACTTCTTCAGAAAAGGAATAGTCACTAGCTATATGAGAACTAGCAAGGATTCTTTCCATACTAAAACCCTAAGGAATGGACTTTAGGAAGTTCCCAGCGTCTGATGCCATGCCACCAACAACCCCTGGTGTTTATTTCAGCTAGATAATTGTCTTTAAGAAGAAGAATCAGAAAATTCCAGGAGTGACCTGAAGTGTCATTTAAAGAGAGAGAGCTACTGCTGACAGTTCTGCATCTACATTAATGAAATCATATTGTATACTTTGCCACACAGAGTAAGAATCCATTTAGGAATAAAAAGAGCAGTGTCAAGATCTGACAATTTAACCAACAGTGGGTAACAAGAATTTGGTTTGGGAGGTTCAAATTCACTACAGGCATATTATTAGACTGAGCATGCAATTCTCTAAAGTAAAACCAGATCATACAGACACAAACAGGAATTTCCAAGAAAATGCCAACATTGAAGAAATGTATTTGTAAACATAACTGAACTCCTTGCTTACAGCTGGTGGCCTACTAAGGCAGAGCACCAGCCTCTCTCATTCATCTGGAAACACAAACTAGCTGCCTAGACAGTATTAAACCCTATTGAAATTCTAATCCTGGCTGAACAGGCAACCCCTTTATACAACTGTTCTGAAGAACCTTCAGCCATTTCTCCTGTGGTGATTAGTAAGACATTTTATTAGCCCCAATTCTCATTTATTCCAGTGTAAAGGGGTATTAGTTAAAATGGAATTGTACATATTAGCAAACAGTTTTTTTCTTCCAGATTATTATACTCTTTTGATATCAGAGATCATTAGGGATGCTTAAAAAAACCTGTAAAGAAGAAGAAACCTACAAGCTCAATCTGGCAGCAAATTAAAGAAGTCCAGCTATATTGGAGATGTCACTGACACAAATTTGCAGACAGCAGAGGTGAAAATCAATGCAGGAAACACACATCTTTCCAAGCAGCAATGAGACCAGCCTAGTTACCCTGCAGCATCTTAAGTGGCACTAGATGCCTGTTCCTCAGGCAATTACATCTAGCCATTCCTTTCTTCTACTCTAAAGGAATAATTACAAATTAGTGCTGGTTATTTTTCTCACTAACTCAAAGACAAAATGGTTTTCAATGAACTTTTGTTCTCTTTTATGTTTCACACATATTAGACTTCCAGTTTTCCTTCCTATGTTGTCCAGTATCATTACATTTATTATCTTCAACTCTGGTTCAATGGAAACAAAGCACATTTCTATTTAAGCAACTTCATTAAGGACTGTCTACATTTTTCAGCTTTGTAATTAAAATCTATATACAGACCTAGTTATTACGCCTATAAAGCAAAGCTGTTAAATATTCCTTTTTTTAAATTAATTTTCTTGCATATATAAAGTATATTCTCACACTTGAACTGAGCCAATACAACGTCATCACAGCTGGCACATGTTTCTTCTTTTGAAAGCTCAAAGGAAACTTTGAGCACAACTATGCTGAAGAAAGACAGGGCACAACAGACTTCAGAGAGAAAGGCCCAGGGTCAGTAGGGGTATAGGACCAAGATCACAGTTTGTTAAGGGGATATCTAAGGAAATCTGTCTCAGAATGCCATACCAGAGTTTGGTAAACAGGAAGCTGGAACTGAAGACTCAATAGGGGTAAGGACAGCTACTGCTGAACTCTTACTTTGAGAGAAACATGATTGAGTATATGAAGATTGAGACGTAATTTGGAAAGTTTTGAGATATTGCTGTCATGATCATGAGTTCCTGCAGCTGTGCACTAATAGTGGCAGCATCTGAAGAAAAAGAACTGCATTCTCTTCAAACAAGAACATCAAAAACTACATAGTACACATTGCCATGCTAAATATTAAGACCTTAAATAAATTGCATCAACCGGTATGTATCTTCTAGTCTTAGCACCTAAAATAATGTTAATGATAAATTAAAAGTCACATTTGAGAACAGCAGGGCAAGGCTTCACTGCTTCACTAGTGGGCTCCAACTGTGCTAACATGGGCACCTCTAGAGATGAAATGGAAGCACAGGTTTGGACTGGACTTGGTTTCAGGGTCTGCCAAAACATAACTACTCTGTGCTAATTTTACCATAGGTAAACTTACAACATTCTCTCAGAAGAGCCACAGTTCCCTTACTCGCCTTCTACCTTCCTGAAGTTCAGTGTAAGCCCTGTTCCCACTGCCGCTGCTCCTGAGCAATATCCTTTCACTCCCAGTGAAAGGATATTGCCATGTGCTGCCACCACAACCGTGCAGTGCCTCGGGAGCGAGCCCACCTGCAAACCTCCTGCCTGCCAGGGCACAGTGCAGTGTGGAGGCTGGACTCTGGGCAGGCTGCATGTGCGTGAGTTGCTCCATCTTTTTGTCATTCTATTCTATTCTTTCCTGTTCTGTCCTATTCTATTATTTATTCTGTCCTTACTGTGAAATTATCTAACATTCAAAAAAATTGGAAAAATGTTTTACAATACTTGACAAACACTGACAGATAAATTCAGTAAGTCTAGTAAGTTACACTGAGTGGTGTTATGCAAACTGTGCTACAAAACTACAAAGCATGGTAGTACAATAATAAATGAGAGTTTGTAGAATGCGTATATTGTCTTAAATGTTTAATTACACAAACATTTTGCTTATGCAGCTTTATCCTTTTTAAGCTAAAAGCATGTATTAACGATCATTATATTTATTAGTCACATTAGAAGTAAAATATTCATAGAATATTCACATTTAAAAAAAATATTGATCACTTCATTTTACAAAACTAGTGTGTAGTAGGCTGCATATAAAATAGACATGCAGAGGTGCAGACCTGGCAGGCTGGTAAATACGCACATGTTGTACATGAGAAAGGATCATAATTAAGGGAGGCTGGCTTCATTAAAATGACACAGTTACTTCAGCGCATAGAATAATGCAAGCTACCTTAACAGTTTGGAGTAATTTTTGTAGATGTTTAAATAATAAGATGACTCAGTTGGCCAGTTTCTTACAGACGTCACAGAGGAAGCAAGTCTAGAACTAGAATTCTGAATTTTTTTAATGAGATAAATGTCTGCTCCTGCCTTTGTTCACAGAATCTTTTTTCCTGTGCATTTCCATGGAAATAAATTAATCTAACTGGATAAGTTGTTTTGTGGTTTCCTGCAACAAAATGTCAATAAATACTACATTGCTAACATAGGGAACAAAAAGAAGCCTTAAACAGATATCAATAATCAGAAGAAAACAGCCAGAAGAGGATTTCCACATGCATCATTTGGAAGCATTATATAATTTGCATGCAAATTAGACTGTTTTTTACTTGAAAAAAATCTATTAAAACACATAGGATCAATACAGAGAGACCAGAAGAAATTGTATTTACTATCAGGAAATGCTTACAGCATCCTTTCTTTCAATTCAATTCAAGAGCTTTTTAAATAAATTCATTATGCATCAGGATGTTTTGATATTGCAGTTTTCTAAAAAAAACCCCTAAAGAATCTGCATTATTATGCTTTATGTAATAAAAATTAATACACTGACTTTATCAGAATTTGGAGACAGTGTGAATAGTTTAAAAGGAAAGAAGAAAACAGTCATATAATTTCTTTTTCATCTAGATTTAAGTTTAACAAAGGGAGACCTAGCAAAATACATGGAAAAATATCACCACCTCCTATTCTAGTTCATGTTCTGCAATGGCTTTAAAATTTACTCAAGATGTATTGGATTAAAACATTTCCACAGACTGAAGAGTCACTTTTTAAAGTACGTTGTTATATAAGGAGCATTTTTCACACTGACACACACCAGTTCAAATATAACAAGAAACGCCCTCAGTCTGTCAGCCCCCCCAAATATCTTCCAAAGAAGAATGAACAAAACATAACAGCAACTTATCAAATCATACATATTCTATATTATAATGCTGACGATTTTTAATCAATCCAGAAATCTTTCACATCATTTGACTTGTGTCATCATAACAGGACTGTAATTCACACAGTGTCACTATCTTTTTATGAAAAAGAACGGAAGAAATATCTTGTACTGTCATTTTGTCCTTTGTAGTCTAGAATGTGAGAGATTCTTTAATTGACATAGTGTCATCGCAAAAGTCTATTCTACATAATTACACTACGGCGACTGAAACCAGCTGTCAGCCATTCCATTACACTAAGTACAAACAGACATCTCAAGAAAAGTCACTGTTTCATGTGCATCAATTTAACATCATTCCTAATTTTTCTTTTAATTTTTTTCCTTACTATTTTATTTAGTGACTTGGAGTATACTACGATTAACAGAGAAAGTTGAATAAATCAGCACTTCTGAAAAACCCGAGGCCTCAAAGTAGTACTTAAAGATTAATTTTGATTAATAACTGTATATAATTATTACCAGTCACCTAGCAGCTTTCTGACTTCCACAATCCTTCATTGTATTAACAGTACCCCACCTACAGTATTTTACATGTGAACTGTGACTCCTTGTTTTCTACAGTCTTTGCAATGGCATATAGATGTCTTTTGTTAATTTTGTGTTCCTTTGGCACAGAAAAAAACCCATCATTCTGTTTTTCTCACCTGTCATAATCCTAGGTCTCTCAACACCTTTTCTCTGTGGCAATCTTCTCTTCATTTATTTTCTCTTAGCAATTCCACAACTTTTTTTATCTTCTTTTCCTCTGTCTACACACTTTTCATTTTCCTTATTTCTAGTGCATTACCACACACAGTTTCTTTACTCCCTCAATCTCCCAAACTTCAGATTTGCCTTATCCCTTTGGGTCCTTCTCTTTCTTCCAGTTTGTTTCGTCTCTCATTTCTCCTTTGAAAAAAACAATTTCATTCTTGAAAATCCCACACAAATTTCCTTTGATTTCATTTAAACCTAAAGATTCCTCTGAAATCCTAAAACTTTGCCCTGGGTTCCACAAGTTTCTCCGTATTGCTCCCGACATTAATTTCTCCCTCCTCCGTTTCCCTCCCAGTGTTCTGAACAGCCTAGGACAACCTTTTATTCAGAGGGCAGCATGGCTTTGCTGATTTTGGGGATTGGGTTGTTTTTTGAGTTTGTTTTCCAATGTGGAGTTTTCATTTCGTTTGGGATTTTTTTGGGGGGCACTGGGCTCTTTGTTGTTTTTGCTCTTTTTCTAATGTTGGCCTCTATATAGTCTGTTAAATAAAGTTGATGTGTCAGTGCAAACCATCTTATCTTTATCATTAAGGCATGTGGGAGAAGACGGTCCTTCAGAACACAGAAAAAGCTGTAGAGTCAATGTCAGGAATCACTGTATTAATGCATGGCTTGAAATAAAATTGTGAGAGCTAGTCACAGAGGGCTACAGTAAAAGAAGCGAGTTCTGTGAGTACAGATAACAAAAAAGATACTTCTGTACTCCCAGTTCTCCATTACAGACTGAGACTGTAAAGGCTGAGTCACTCATTCCTTATGCCTGTGCTGTGTAACAAAAGTTGATATCCCTGTGTGCACTAACATTGTCTTTCAATGCTACTACTCAAACCATAAACGATCTGATAACAAAAAGCTCCAAGACTCTCCCACTGAGCAGTTCAAAGGTAAAGCATGTGAGGAGCTGCTGCTTTCTAAAGGGCTGCTTCTCTGGCACAGTTTTGCTGAACAGGAGAAAGGCTGCATACCCTACAAGTGTTCAGGCTGAGAGATGCTTCTGGGAAATTGTAGGATTTTCTGCTGCTGTAAAACATTTGCTTGTGCCAGTCCTAAAGGATGACAAGTGCTAAAGCTCCATTTTACAAATTCCTTCTTGCTTGACATATCAACGCAGGGAAAGGAGAGCATAAAATCCTAAAATCATTCCTGGTACTACTTCAGGACTGGGGGGAACAGCTTCTCCTGCAGCAGCTGAACACATTTGGACTTTCTTTAGTGTATTTTTTCTTTTTAAAGAAATAAACAACTATGACAGCACTTGTTCCTTATAAAGCAAGAAATACTGGTTTTGCACTGTGGTGGTATTTAAAGAGGACAGCTGGAAGTCAGAATTCTTGTTTGCCCTCTTCTGATGTTTGGAAACAAAAATAGTAACACGGTGAATGTAAAGTCTGATCTCTAAGACGCAATTGCAAGCAGCCTTTATGAACTAAGAAACACGAACTGGGAAGACACAATGGAATAGATTGTACCTTTATGAAGTGGAGTTGTAATCCAGTTTGTATGGAAAAAGAGAATGGAAGTTGTGGCCTAAACTCTACTGAGTCACAGCAGCTAACACAATACAGCGTAAGTGACATCCTTTCTCTCAAAGAGGCTCAAGGCTCATTGAGTCTGGCAATTCAATTACCCTCTCAACCCAGGAACAACCCTCCTCCCTTGTCCCTCTTCTACTTCAGAGCTCAGGTCTAATGGCAGAACAGCCAGAACAGCTACATTGTACATGGCCTGTAAATATCTAAAAAGCCTCAGGCTTAAGAGAACAAGAATCCCTGACCCTTTATGATTGCTATAGCCATTTCCCAACAAAACAAACCACATACAATAGAGCTTTTTAATACCTGACAAAGTAATTCATTTTCAGTTTACTGCTGTCTAAATAGTCTATATTAATAATGAATCATGTTTAAATAAATACCTGCATGCAATACTGCTTACACAAGGATAAGGACAGGGAATTTAGTGAACACAATCTTCTCTAAACAAGTAGAAGGGTAACCAGCTGAAGCAAGTTTTTCAAGTGGGTGATGAGAGATTCAGACACGAATCTTCAGGAAGTCTAGAAAATGCACCCCAATGCCCTGAATCTATTGACCTCAAACACCTGAGTGTTCTGTGTTTCACCTATTTATTTCTTCTAGAAGCTATCATACATATTTATAAGCTTTTGTATTAGAAATGGAAGTTTATTTATATGATGAAAACAGCAAAAACAAATTTATCATTTTGAAAATGATATTCAATGACATGCAAAGTATCCTTGATCATCTTAAGCAAGAACTTCAGTGACAATAATGCAGAAATTCTCATCAAGCTGAATATTCAGACTGCTGAATGATAATATCTAACTTATTATTTCAATAGAAGTTCAGCAAAACACATAACAAAGTGAAAAATTACTTACTGGTTCCATTAACAAATATCAAAACTATAAATGATATGTTTTAGTTTTCAAAAGCACACTATTCTTGTCTTCTATCTGCTCTAAAAGTGTGTGGTGCAGGTACCACCACAGCAGCAGAATAAAAGAGAGGACACCACAGGAGCAGCCATGGTAGTGGGCTCTTACACAGATTCTGCCAGGTCATGATTTCAGGTGAATAATTGCAACTTTTGGTACCCCCCCCTCAACTTCACCTTGTACCTTTGACAGAAAGCAAGGAGTTTCAAAATGCAGTACTGTGAAAACAGCAGTACATACCTACAACTATAAAGAGATTCCATTAATAAAGTAAACCATAAGAATTTCCGGTAATTTTCTGAATAACAGAATTTGTTACAAGAGATATTTTATGGCAATGGCATCAGAAACTAATACATCAAAAGGAAAATTCAACCCAGCAGACTGCAGTCATCAAATCAAGCTTGGGTTCCCTCTGCACTGTTGGTTTCCTTAAGTTGCTTGGGACATGAATCACAGGAGACAGCCATTGACATGGAGGCTACAAAACAGAATCAGACTGGCTTGGTTGGAAGGGAACCTTGAAGACCCTTCAGTTCCAAATCTCCTGCCATGGGCATGCAGGACTCTCTAGCCTTATTTCTCAGCCCATGAATTCAGCTACTTGCTGAGCATGTCCCTCTGGGGGTTTTACTAACTTCTAATTTGAGGAGGTTTCTTCTTTTGGTTTGGTTTTCTGGCTGTTTAGTTTTAAAGTGAGCATTAGAGTTGTTGCAGAAAAATGCTTCCACAATGATGCCATGTAAGATTTCTTCTTGTAGGGTAAGGAGAGAAAGAAGAGCATAAAACTGTACATAACCTCAAACTTGAAACTTGAATTAACAGAAGCAGTGCTGATTTAGGCATGCATTTTTCCATTCTAACATCTTGAACAGCAGAAACCAAATATTCAACTTTTGAAAACTTCCTGTGTGTGAATGTTTCCTGGTGCTTACACAGCAACCAGACATAAACATAAGGCAAAAGCAGCTACTAAAGCTGTGTTATATACCTTTTATCATAAGTTTCAGTGTGGATACAGAAGGTATTGATAGGTAAGGATAGAGTCCAAAAAGACATGCTATGATTACATTTCAGTAATCTAAGATACTTTGGCTTCTCCATAAAAAAAGTTATATCTACTGAGAGATTAGTACTAAGCTGCAACTCTTTTCTAGAGCAAGATATTCTGATAAAACACCGAGTGACCAAGTCACCTGCTCAGGGCAAAGCCAGTGTGTTACCCTGCACTTGCAGCTTCCAGGAGGATTCAAAAGTCATCATCAAACAACCCAAATTCTGTATGATTATCCACCTCACTGACCATCTGACAGGTTAAATCTGCCTATTAGAATCAGTAAGCATGTACTCATTGGCTTCAGCAAGGCAAAGACTACTTCAAACCTTCAAGGCAGTTTACTAATATTATTCCTGTATAGCATTGCCAAAACACAACTCTCAAAGCTCTGCAGTCATCCCACTTCTATTGTCTCTGCTCTGTAACAGAAACACAGAATTCAAAATTAATCTGCCTTTAAATAGCTTACCCCTTCCACCAAGTTACAGAGGGACATTATTATGTTATCTCCTCCCATGTACAACTTCAAGCCTGACTTTACCTTGTTTGCAATACTTGTGATGAATGACTTGATGTCCAGATTAGTTGGGCAACTCTTCTGACAAGGGGCATCTGCACACTTTAGGCATCTAGGAATAAAAGAAAATGTGTCAAGCAGACATGGAATGCAAGTGCTGCAAATAGTAAACGGTTTTCAAGTTAACATGCTAAAAGATAAGTCACAAAGCAATAACACAAAACACAAAAAATTTCTATTTAAACTCTCAAAGCACTACATGATCATTACTGACTGTCATCACACAGATTAGTTATGCTGCGTTGACTGTACTTTACATAGGATGGTACCATTTACAAGCACACAGACAGCACCTGTTGAAGTAATAGGAAACCCTCAAATTACATAGAGGTAATTTTTTTCCCTAGAATGCATGGTTGCTGAACTTCTGACCAGTTCATTTTTCTATTTGAAAACACTTGTGCTGCAAACCTAAATTTATTACTAAGTTCTGGAAGTCTCATTATGGATTAAATGCTGAAGGTTGGACCATCAGACTTACAAAAGCAACAGTATTTCCACAAAAGGAAATCTGGTCAGATATTTCATACATCTTACTGTATGTCCAAAGAATAAGAATAGCTGATGAATTTTCAAGTTCTTTTTCTATGAATTTCCAGTGATAAGTCTGTGACTTCTGAAAACAATTCAGAAGTCTTATGCATGCCCCCAGCCAAAATCCCTAGGACCTTCTTCCTGTCATTTCTAATGACGAAAGCTAACTAAGAAATAAGGCGACAAAACATCCTAAGTAATAAAGATTGATTTTCTGTTTCTGCATAGTCATACATGGGGGTGTGATGCTTGCACCACTCCCATCTAAGGAATAAGTCCTCAGGACAGTCTACACAACTTGCATTAAGCAAACCTTAAAAAAAGATAAAAGTCAGCTGCAGAAGTAAAATGGTTCTCTATTAGGCACAAAGGTATTAGAACACAGCCTTGGTTTTATAGATCAAGGATTATCACAGGTCAAATGCCTCACTACTTGTCTCAGAATTCATTAGGTTATTCCAGATGCTCTTTTGATACTGCTCTAGTAACAGTCAGAATTAATGTAAATTGTGGGTTTAACAATGTATGCAAAATGAAATAAAATTTGGTTTTTATATATTATTTGAGCCCAGATACATAAGTTCCACAAGTCTACCTTAATTATTTTTATTCAGTGATAGGTAACAACACTATGGAACTGAGTATTTTAAAACAGAGAAAAGCTGCAAGAGGCCAGTAGACTATATACAAAGAAATTAAGATTACATTAAAAGGAAATTACTGGAATACCTGCAACAAAACACAGTCCTGACTTTGTCAATCACACATATCAGGGGTTTTTTGTTGTCATTTTTACAGTTAAGGGTGGAATACAAGAGAAGGGACAGCTAGTTAAGTAAAAGATTAATTAGCCTTTCATCTTGTTATTCATTATAATCTAGCTGGGTATTGCAGACAATATGGCACCAGAAAAATTTGAAGGCACATGTGGTAGTGGCTGTTTAGATTTTCTCACAAGACTTCAAGGAAAAAAGGCCCCAGAGGATATACTTAAAGTAAACTGGTCTCACAGGTTCCAAAGGATGGGAAACCTGCAGAAGCCAAACCTGGGTCCAACACCAGACTGGGTTACGAGTTCAGCTAGGTGGGTGTCAGAAAAGCATCGGCAGGTTTGGCTGTGGCAGCTGAACATAACACTGCCCAGCACTACCTGTGACAGGTACATGTTAAAAAGGTCTTAACAAGGAAAGGTGGGACAGGGAGACCTCAAAAGGTCTCTAAGCAAACAAGAATTTCTCCTCTTTAAAAAAAAGGCAAAGTTCTAGTACTCAAAGCCAGCAAAAAAGGAGATGCACTACACAAAATAACACCACTATGACAACTCAGATGAGCAGTTTGCCTGTATAGGCAATAAGGAAATAATAGCACTCAAAATCATGGAATTAAATAAGACATCAATTCCATTACGATCTTTTATTCTTGACTTTCCTCAGTGATGTTTTCTTTAAAACACAACAGTCCTATATTAAAAATCAGAGGAAGCACACTGAATATAAAATGCATTTTGTGGATTATATATAGAACAATTTCATGTCAAAACTGCATGGCACCTGGCAGGATAAGATGTGTACAGATTACTTGCTCAGACTAGCAAGCATCTTTACCAAATTATTTCTCTTTTGATTTTTGAGCTGCTTCACAAATAACAGCTGCTGAAAATGTCAGCTGCTGGGAGGGGCAGGTAACGCAAACTTGAATGTGAGCTTTGGGGAGGAGGGGAGGGTGCCATGAATATGCCAGTCCAGACTTTCTGCTATAATAATACCATCTTCCAGGCACTCTGCAGACTAAAGTGCACCAGGCTGCCATTAATCCCACTTATCACCATGACAGCTCAGTAATTACATGCCTGCTATAGCTAGGTACTGTAAGGTACTGTAGTCCTAATAAAACATCAAGCACTGTGCTGAATGCATGCTGGTGAGGTGTTTTATTAAACTTGGGGGGTTGATCATCAAGTGACATTAGTGTTGACCTATTTTTCTATCTGACAATAAATTATCTTTTGACCATACCATCACAGATATCACAGAGTGCATTTACTGTACAAAGGAGCAAAGGTATTGCGTTCTGGTGAATCAGGCAAAAAGAATAAATAAAGTAGTAGAGTCACACACCAGAAAGTTATTACATAAATTGCTGCAAGTGATTGATCCTTTCAAAAATCACAGGCAAAATACCCTGCTTAAGGGAGCACACCAACAATTACCATGAGCTTCAATTCCACAGGCATAAACCCCAGTGGAGAAACATTAAGCATTATACTTCCTTTCTTTTTCTTGAACTGTCCTCCCACCCTGAGAAACCTCACCTTTCATTTTACAGGGTTATTTTATTACTATGATTTTAGTTCACAATACTGTGAACAAATTAGAAATTTAGATTAACTGTTTCTAATTCACCCGTTAGCTCCCAGCAAATTAAATGAAGAAGTGCATGCTCATTACTAAAATACCCAAACAAACAACATTCTGGACTACCTATGGACCTGTGCTAATCTGAGAATATATATCTCAGCGTTTCTTAGTAAAAAATATAGGAAAAATCCTACCAACTATCAGAAAGCACCCTATATTATGGATTCTTCTCCCACTGCTCATGGAACAGCATCTCCTTTAGAAACATAGGCAGTTTTGAATCTTAAAAGACACCACATTCACTTCACATGCATATTAATTTCCATATAAAAAGCAACACCACAGCCTTTGCACTGCAGAAGAGAAAAGGAAGCCATAGCCAAGATAATCTTCAGTTAACAGCTTTGTTGTACAGTTGTTGAAATATTACCCAATATTTTATTTTAAAGTTGAAATATCTGACCAACAGTCCCATTTCCAGGTAAAGGCCAGCTCTTAACACACTTTTGCTTTCAAACAAAGAAGGAAAATTTAGTTGTATTGTTACCTAAAAATGCAGTGAACAATTGTCTATGTAACTGGTAATAACATCACCTGAAGTGCAAGCACGTGAATGCTGAAAGACCAGGGGTGAAACAGATAATCTGGAATAATATTCCTCAACAAATTGTAGTTGATAACCCATCAAATCTTCATGTATCACAAAACAGAGCAAATAACCTTTATTATGGTTACTGTTGGCAGAGGTTTAGAAGCAAATTGAATCCTAATTCATTTCTGCAGGACATAAACATTTTGAAAAAAGTCTTCCAGTTCTAGTACTTGTAGAAATTTCTAAAACTTTATCCACTACTCCAAGAAACAGCCCCAGTGAAGGTCTGTATGTACTTTCTGAGGCTTTGGTCAATTAACTTTTAGAGAATGGTAGAGCTAACTGCACCCAGTAAATAAGAGGTCAGCATGAACAGGAGACCCAACTTTGACCCAACCAAAGCTCTTCTTGGTTTCAAGACTCTTCCACCACTCTAAACCCTGAGCTGGGGACAGTAAGCACTGAAATAAGAAAGCTGCATGTCAGGAAAAAATTAATCTATTATTTCCAAATAAATCTAAATTCCAATTTGAATGCCCCTTGCCTTTGATGCCCAAAGCAAAAAGCATTACATAGCTTGTTCTCTCAAAGTTCAGTCCTTTAATTACTTATGGCTAATCCTGTAGCCATACTCCCCATTTGGTCTTGCTTCTTGCTGTACTCAAAGAAGGTCAAGGACAAAACTAAACTGAGATTTGGACACATATAGACTCATTTAATAAAGGCAAGGGATGCCAGGATAAAGATCCACTACTTAAATGGCAAGCCATTGGTGAAAACTTACTGTTGGCAGCTGAAAAAAAAAAAAAAAAAAAAAGCTGCAATTATTTTCCTAATTAAAAACAAACAAACAAAAAACCACACACCCAAAACTAACATAATGTGGGAAAAATCCCACATTCTTTTGTCTTTGTGTTCATTGCATTTCTCAATGGAGAGGAGAAAAGGATTAAAAAGTAACTGGAAGATGTTTTGTCAGGTTTAAGTACCAAAACACCATAACAGTTGATACATGGGTCTGATAAGTACCAAAGACAAATGATACAGGAATATTAGAAGTCAAGAAACAGAAAAAGGAATTCTCACATGCAAGGCCAAGGTCTCTGCTGTGCAATGTACAATGCAAAGTACAGTTGTTCAAACTACAGTGTGGCAAAGAGAACAAAATCTTAAATTAGAATCAACCATGAAAGTAAGTTTGGATTACAAAAAAACCAAATCTAATTGCCAAGAAACACCACTAGTATAAAGGGCACCAGAAACTGTACAAAACACAGCAATACAGACAAGTAGATATCCTGGTCCTGGATATTTAATAGTGGGTGAAAGGCAGCAGTCTTTTGGGTTATATTGCAGAATGACATGTGAAAACATATGTATGTGAGAAATGCCTGGCCTGTTAGCAATGCACAGGAGCTGTAAAAAACAAAACATTCAGTATCATGTAAATCAGCAATACTAGCTCATATCTAAAAAAAGCAGGAAAGACTCCCACACTGTTGCTGCTGCCTCTTCAGTCACCTGAAGTCCTGTAAGTCTTCTGCAGATCCATAAAAATTGCACTACTTC